TTTGGTACTTTTCGTAGCTTTTCTTCAATATTTTGAAAAAATCTGCAAATCAACGTAAGCGACTTACAGCTCGAAGGGTATTGATGTGCCTCTTGTGGCGACTTCAATGAAAATTATTAGTGCTACAGGCGACCATTTGCATTTTGTCGTCAAAGTCGAAAAAAGTGAGAGTTTCATTTGATTATTTTTTTCATTATTTTAAAAATTCGATAAAGAAGAAGAAGAAGGTATATTTTTGAAAAATTGTCCTTCATTTTGAATCCATATTTATGGTCACCGTACCTATAACCGAAGTTGTGTCTACGAAGACTAAATTTGTCTGGACCGATTCTGCGCAAAAAGCTTTTGAACATATTAAAACTATGTTGACTACAGCACCGGCTTTGCAAAACGCCGATTTTTCGAAGAAATTTTTCCTTCATTGTGATGCTGGCGATTTTGGTATTGGCGTGGTACTCACTCAAATTTCGGACGATGGCGCTGAACGTCCTGTGGCCTTCATGTCCAAAAAACTTAAAACCGCGCAACGCAACTATAGCGTAATGGAACGCGAGTGCTTAGCTGCAGTTGAGGCCATAGAGAGGTTCAGATGCTACCTGGAGGTGCAGGAGTTTGAAGTGATCACTGACCACTCAAGTTTAGTCTGACTTATGAGACAGCAAAATCTAAAAGGTCGCTTAGCGCGCTTGGTGTTGAGACTGCAGCCGTATAAATTTTCGATAAGTCACAGAAAAGGACAGGATCACGTTGTACCAGACGTATGTATGCGAATGTATGCTGATGAAGTTTGTAGCCTGGAAAGTATCACATCAGAAATAGATTTGGGTTCTCCCTATTTTACCAGACCTGAATATGAAACTTTAAAAATGAAATTTCTCGCCAACCAGACAAAGTATCCGGATATCAAAGTAGTTGAAAACTACTTATACATACGCATGGAGCACTATCAAGGAAATTGTGGATTCCTTCCCAGATGATGTGGTCGCTGTGCATGGAGGTACAGCGAAAACGCTTGACTTATTAAGAAGGTATTTTTATTGGCCAGGCATGGTTAAAGATGTAAGAGATTATGTGAGAAACTGCGAAATTTGCAAGGTAACTAAAGTGCCAAATGTCTGCTTAAAACCTCTCATGGGTCACATGGCAATATGAAATTGAAGATTTCTTGACTAAGCATATTTTTCGTCTTTATGGCGTACCAGAAGTCATCATGAGCGATAACGGTTCCCAATTCAAGCCCTTCTTACCAAATTCGGTATTAGACATATACTTACGGCCTTATACTCCCCGCAATCCAACGCCTCCGAGCGTGTGAACCGTTCGCTGATTGCCGCAATAAGGGCCCTTTTGAAACAAGACCATCGGGAATGGGATGTAAATATCAGTTCCATTAGCTGTGCCTTGCGCAACTCACTGCATCAAGCGATTTTATGCTCCCCATACCATGCTTTGTATGGTTTTGACATGGTCATCAACGCATCAACTTATCCACTTTTAAAAAACTTAAATCTTCTGGATGAACCTGTATCTGTTATTGCACGTGATGATCAACTCCTACTGATAAGAAAAGATTTGCGGAAACACCTCGAAAAAGCGTATAATCAAAATGTCAGCCAATACAACTTGCGAGCTAAAACAGTAACATATTGCGTTGGACAAGAAATTTTTCGCAGGAATTTTGCACAGAGCAGCCAAGAGAAGAAATTTAATGCCAAGCTGAGCCCTATGTTCATCAAAGCACGAATTAGAGATAGAGTCGGTTCACATTATTGTATTCTGGAAGATCTTCAAGGCAGAACAATAGGTACCTATCATGCCAAGGACATACGGTCATAAACGTTCTTTTCTCCAGCTAATTTTCCCGTTGAAAACACCGTAAAATTATCTGGTATGTAATGGACGTTTTCCAAAACAAATTGTTCCCCAAAAAAATATTTTCATGGTCTTATTCATATGAAGAAATAAATTTAAATAGCTCTATAAAGTGACCTTTTCATACACATTTTCGATATATGGAGCTGTTAAAATCTTATTGATTTTATTATTTTTTTCATGAATTTGAGTGGCAGTCTTCAATTATTATATCACCTAAAATATTTTTTTCCTACCAATTAGAATTTCTGCAAATTCTCCATTCAAAATATTTCCCTTCAAGATCCAGCAAACTTGGGCAACTTAGCAGGGGCGTTCTAATTAACATACCCGAAAATTGCCTATATCGATAAAAGGCCAAATATCGATTGCAATTCATTGGTTGACAGGCGGAAGTAATGTCTTGTCAAATTAACTTAGGTCGAGTCTTCAAACCTTTGTACCCTTCTTTTCTCATCGATCCGTGGAGCAGATAAGATGAAAAAGTGAATATTTAAATCCATATTGATTTATTCTATCAGTAATATAAATTTTGCTTTCAACAGTTTTCGCTTGCTACGAGCTCGTTTGTATTTAAGTGTAGCTATTTTACTCTCTTCAACCAAGCTGGTTTTAGGTAGTCGATTCCTTGTCTTAGGCTTTTTTCTTGCGAAAACGCACATTCACACACGTAGTTGTTGTAAGTATAATTTGCCTGAAAGGTACACACTAATCTTGATTGTTCAGCGCTTTGTGCACTGCAACTTATTAGAAAAGTTGGAGAACTACCAAGGCAATTTAATTTGCATTAGAAGCAGTAACAACATTGCACAAAACCAATACCGGACTTCAAAAGAAGCAGTAAAGGCTCTTCCACGCTTTGGACAAATACGATACCGAGCAACAGTCACACATCAGGCAGAAACCCGAGACCGCTGCTCAGTACAATCATCGGCTTCGGAAGAGTCTCACATCGTTAACGTGATAGTTTTAGCGTCGCGAAAGCATTCCCAACACCCGACGGCAAATTTTCACAAGACAGCCCAAAAGGGAAAATAAAAAGTACGTGGGATAAAATAGTCGAAAGTAAAAAAAGTGAAAAATATTCAAAACCTACTCAACTGAACAAATCGGATATAGCTTTTCCCACTCGGCTCGTAAATGCTAAATATAGTTAGTAGTGTAAAGGTATATGGAAAGTACAGTGGTGAAATCGTGCGAAAATTGCTCTAATTTCCATAGAAATTTATACGAAAGTTGCATATGGCGGAAAAGTGCTCACAGCATAACGAAATTTAAAAGTTTTTCAAAGTGTAACACGTTTATATGAAATAGTATGTAAGTCAGTTTGTTTAAATTTAGAAAATCGAATGCAAGCTTTTGGTTTCCTACTAACGGTAGTGGTGTCGAAAAGTCATACCTCCATATCGTACGTTCTTCAAGCTAAGCCAATATAAATTAAGTATATATAGGGTATTCAAAAAGAAGAAAAATCAGCTTAGAATACTTGTTTCAAAATAAAATTATAGTTTAAACAACTAAAACCTCCCTATTATAATTTCCATTCGTACTGTCATCAGGTATGTAACATGAGAATAGAAATCGCTGCATCTTTTAGGCGCATCATTATTACATAGTTACCTCCCGAACTAATAAAAGGGAGGTAAAAAGAAAAAAACAAAGAACCGTCCAGGCATGGGTGAGTTAACATTTAAATTTTCTTATATTACAAGCTCTTATTTAACTTGGTCATCCCGCGGAAATTTCCAATCGATTTTAAACTAACTTCCCGACAAGGTAAAATCTTGAAATTTTCAGCATAGTTCCAATCACGACGACAATGCAATTTAAAATATAAATGAATTCCCTATATGGTCCAGGGGTCTTGATACAAAGGCGGTCAAAACATAGTAAAATGTATGGCTAACAGAGCGTAATTTGCCAAAGAACGTAAAACCACAATAAAATTGTTGAAGCTACCGGCGGTAGTACATAAGAAGTATAGTTGCAGGCGCTAGTAAGAGAATAACCGGAAATCAACTTCAACAGTGTTTAAATTGCCAAACTGTTAAGTTTTAACACTTCTGTTAAGAATTACATTATTTGGTTTCCTCACACAGGGAGTTATGGAAATACAGTGATACAATAAAAGCCACGCATAATTTATACCCACCAGCAAAAAGTTTCACTTCTGAAAAAAGTAAGCGAGTTAGTAATAGGTCGCGGGGCAGGGAACGAGGTCATTTCGTTGTAAGAGAAAAATATTTTTTGTTCTTGTCCTTTTCAAGAAATTTTAATACTAAATTCATATGAACCAGTGTAGCGCTCTAAATTTCCTAGGAAGATGCTCAACTCATCAATTTATATTCCTGCATATGCGAGTCAGACATGCAAACAACTGATAAACTGATATTCCCAGGTTTGCAATTTTGTAAGATATGAATTTCGTAGGACATCGGCCGTGTTAAAAGTCATCAAAGAATTCAGTAGTTAGGCCCTCACTTTTGTTATTACAGATTCATTTTTCAGGCGAAAAAATGTCAGTTAGTATGATCAGGGTTGCCAACTATACTTAGCTATGCAGTGCCATATTGAGGATAAAACAGTGCCAAAATGTGCAAAATAGAAAAATAAAAGTGCCAAAAAAGCTGTAATTCTTTTTAGTTCTTCTCATTTAGCATTAAAATTACAAACACATTCCTAAAACAAAAGTCCAATGCAAAGTAAGATAAACCAGTTGTATACACTATAGAAATTAGAAAATTTTAGTTGGCAAAAAGAAGTAGACGCAAAGGATTTCACAAAAATTAATTGAAATATTATTACTTTTCAAAAGTGCCAAATTGAAAAATTAAGTGCCATTTGAAGTAAAATACGGCCAAAAATGGCCTGTGTATGAATAATTGTCTATAATTAACATACCGAAGTGGTCAAAAGGCTTAGGCCCAATTTCAAATGGCCTACTTAAGTAGAGATTGTTGATTAACTTTCACTATTCATTTTCAGACCATACATTTAATCTGAACTTAAATGGCCAATATTGGCTATTGATTGGTAGGTTGTTTAATCAATCCCACCAAATCCCACCAATCAGCTGTTCAGCACAAAATGTAAACAAACAAGCAAATGCAACAATAATTTCAAGGAACAAGCAGCAGTGCTGCAAATCGATTGGCATATTTAAATAAAGTTGATCTGAAACCCAACGAAAGCTAAATGGAATGTAAACAGCAATCCACAATTAAACTTAAGTGCCGTTTAAATATTCATTTGAAATCGGCCCGTTGTTCAATGTCTGATTAACACAAATCGGAAGCTCTGGTTAAATACAACTGCTTTATCGATCACATGTTATATGCATGCAAGAATGATAGAATACAAGATTGCGCCGATCAGAGAGGATTTTTGAGAATAACTTTTGTGTGACGTCACACTGGTGCAATTGCGAGAGAGAAATGCCAAAACGTGAGCAAGAATGGAAGAAGAACAAAAAATGTTGCAAGGAAAACGTAAACAAGTTGCACAAGTGTGACGTCATGCAAACAACGATTCTGTCAAATTCGTTAAGAGAGGAATAGCGGTCCGAGATCGGCGCAACCTTTGTATTCTCTCAATCGTGATATGCATGATGTCGAAATCTTCGATAATGATCAGGCATGTGCAGAGAGTTAGCAGGTGCTAAAAGAGTGTAAGCGTCGCGTGTGCGTATATAAGCGAGAGCGCAGCGATGAGAACACGACAGCATGCAAAATGAATTAGGCACACTAACACATTCTCACTTTTAGTTCACGCTTGTTTGTGGTAGTGAACACCTCTGCCGTGCAGTGCGCAAGTGTCCCCATAAAATAAAGTTGCTAGTTCTGAGATAGTATCTAACAGAACAAGACTTGGACTGGTTGCTTTGTTATGCGATGAGCGACACTGGATACTTAAAAAATTCTGATTTCTGCTGGCAGACAAAGTATAAAAAATTCAAATCCAACCACGATTCGTGTAAGTATCAACGTGCACGAACAAAGTATTGTGTTGTTGTTGTTGTTTAAGCAACATCGGCTCACGGGTCCCTCGGCTACAACAATCGTCAACGGACGAAATTTTTAATTTAGTTTATCTCTGAACTGTCTACATTGGAATGCTTATGGGGTAACTGTCCACCGCCAATGACACCTCCATTATAAAGTAGACAGTTGAAACCGTTGTTGGGAGATTGAGCGGGAACTAGTGTCGTGGAAAACCGAACACATCTTGAACTATTTTTGGGCTAGAGAAATCTCGTGCATCACTGCCAAAATGTACAAATGTACAAATCGTGTGATCTTCCCTTAACAGCTTTTTACAACGCTTTTTACAGCGCTTTTCTCAACTTGCAATGCTGTATGTCCAAACCAACATTTATACTATAAATGTAGCAAAGCTATTTATGGTAAATTCTAGATATCAACCTAGTCTAGATATGAACCTCGTTGTAGGCATCATATCAAGGAGATACAATTAGAAGACTCTAGATGTCGCCCCGCCAGAAGAAGTTAAATATTGCGCCTAGATATATGCACTATTTACATACGCTACAGCGGAAATGGACGACACGCCATTTCTTGAAATGAAATTAACTGCTGCATATGTACGTATGTACATATGTATGTTTATACAAAACGTAAGCAAACAACATTTTGCTTGCATAGTCTTCTGTTCTCTTTCATTGCAAGTTGAATTATTTTAATATCTATTGCAAAATTTTGTACATAAAATAAAATAAAACTTTTTAATATACAACGCTTTTATAAATGGACTAAAAATTAGAAAATAATATTTCTTAGTCCCATAGAATTTGTATAGATAACTTTTAATTTTGAAATTTTAGGAGAAGTCATTATACACCATTTATGAGATTGAAAATGAAAAGCGTGGGGCGCATGTAATAGACCTGAATTGATATGAAGGGTAAAATATGTATGAATGTGGATATATGAATAACGGCCGCTTAAAATCGATCTCAAATTTGTACTTTCTCTGTAGAAATTTTAGGTCTATGTTATGTAGTTTGACTATTGTCAATTAAATCGAATGCTTTGTATTCCATGCGCTCCACGTTTTTCGCTTTCAATTTCATAAATGGTTTATAATGACTTTTGCTAAAATTTCAAAATCAGCAACGGGCCCTTAGCTTAGATGAAAATGCTTCAGTTTAAGATAGACTTTACATATAAACAACTTTTCTATTTAAAGCAACAAAATAAAAAATAAAATCTTTCATTATAAAGGTTTGCTCAAGCAGTATAGGTATGGATCCGCGCGGTATAACTCCGTATGCCATGTTTGCTCATGTATGGATATACATACATATATACCCAGTAGAAATCGGTTGTATGCATTCATGAAGAATGCTTGCTATATGAGTGAATTGGTGTGAACAATTCATGCGTAGTCATGAATTTCCACGAATAAATTCAAATTCTAGCGAATTGCAAGCGAATGCACGTTGTCGTTGTTTTGAGTACATTTCTTGATACATTTGAAGTGGAATTTTTGTAATATTTTCAGTCTTGTACAAAAATTTTAGTGAACGGACGTGTTGTGCGATACATACTATTTTCAGCACAAACGGGCTTTTACAAGATATGCATTTGCATATGTAAGTGCTACTTTTTTGTATGTCCCCGTATATAAAAATGTATCAGAGAAGTAGCATTTACATATGGGGATACATATCTTGTAAGAATGCTTTAATACTGTTCCATTAATGCATTTTTGTATGTTTGAAACATTAATACAGCCATATGCATACAGCAGTAGTACAAGTGTATGGTTAGAGATCGCATACGCTCTGAGAAACCACGCGAGTTAAGTGGAAATGAAGGTTCATTTATACTGGCATGTGTACACAGCAGCAAGCTCATGCCACCAACAGCAATGTCGTATGCATACAATTTCTACTGGGTAGTTAACTTACATACTTACCCAGTAGAAATTCTATGCATACAACATCGCTGTTGGTGGCATGAGCTTGCTGCTGTGTATACATGTGTGTGTATAAATTTGAAAATACATAATTTGAGAGAATCTCCACATACACATCAAACATGCAACCTAAATGTATACTATGCACTTAGCTTTAAATTTTAACATTTTCGCAGCTCCCTATATTTATATTCATCTAAAGCAGAGATCACAAGATTTGTACATTTAAACAGTTACAGAGTGGTGTTGTTTGAAAGTTGTTATTATTTCTAGACAACTCCACTCTGTGACTGCAAAAATGTACAAATCTGTACAAATGTACAAATCGTGCGATCCCTGCTTAACAGCTTCTTTACAGCGTGTTCACTACTGCTAGTGATAGCAGAGCGTAATTCGCAGGCGCAACTATGTAGGATAGTTTTAGGCAGTGGTATGATAGATTCTATTGTGAATTCCTTGGTAAGATAAAATATCTGAAATTAGTTTAAATAAATCAGCTGTTAACCTTGGGATATTTCTATACGAATTTCTGTAGAGCACCTACCGGGTGCGTGGTTTGTACTTGATCTGAATGCTTAAATTAAATAACACACCCTTAATAAAAATATTATGTCCTGATTGTATAAAATAAAACTAAAAAGTTCAAAATAATATAATGTAAAAACAAGCTTTTATTTAACATGTACAATCAAAGGAACAAAATAAAGTAGTGTAAAAAAGTTTTTTTAGCAAGAAAACTTTGTCAAAACTGCACTAAAATGAATAGATTAAAATAGGTTAAAGTCTCGGCGAATTCAGCGTACATGCATAATTGGTTAGGTATGTATATGAATGTATGCAGATATTTAAATGCCGGTTTGCTATTCGCGCGACAAACTTTTTTAAAAACAAAGTAAGTTAGTAAAAATTGTTAGTAATTTTCATTAGAGTTTGAGTAACTTCTTTCACTAAATGGCTTTTAGTAACTTTAACGAGACCTTAACATATTTTATTTTTATTCATTTTAGTGCAGTTTTGACAAAATTGTCTTGCTAAAAAATCTTTTGTAACACTACTTTATTTTATTCCTTTGCTTGTACATATTAAATAAAAGCTTGTTTTTAAAAAATATTTTTTTTTCCGCTGTTTTTGCCCATTTTTGAGGTTATGTAGCTACGAAGATTTTGCTCTTCATAAAAAAGTAGACGTGGTATTTTAAAGTATAAGTCTTCCTCTTTTAAATTCCGTTGAGTTTGCTCAAATATCTTAATTTTTCACTGAGATATCGCATTTTGAAGTCTCCATGTTTGTGAATGTAATCGACCGTATCACGTCTCATGTTATCTCAATGGATTTTCGAATATCGAAAAATTCACAAACATGGAAACTTCAAAATGCGATATCTCAGTGAAAAATAAAGATATTTAAGCAAACTCAACGTCATTTAAAAGAGGAAGACTTATACTTTAAAATACCACGTCTACTTTTTTATGAAGAGCAAAATCTTCGTAGCTACATAACCTCAAAAATGGGCAAAAACAGCGTTTTTTGCACTTTTAGGTTAGGATATCTCAAAGTCCTGACGTGATAGAGCAATTTAAACCCCGGATTCGGATTCTACGCAAAAAATTACTTCGAAAATGACCCTACACTTTCCTAGAACAAAACGTTGTTGACCTGTGTTATTTTTATATCTTAACAGCGTTTAAGACGAAAATTTAATCAACTAAGTAACAACAATTTTACCATATTAGTTCCAAGACTTATATTCTAAAAAACGTAACAAATTCAACTAGGTAATTATTAATTACAACTTATAGCAACTACGTTTACCCAGTAAATAATCGGAAATATTTTACTAAGCATACATTATACATTTAGGAGGATTCCTGTGTTCATATTTCTTTGCTTTTGTGGTAATGAATTTATTATACCTAAGTTACAAAATTGAGTTAAATGGTTATTGTTATTACGTATGTCTTTAAGTATTATATATGTATATCAACAGTAATTCGAATGGGTTCAGTTAGCACAGAAAAGAAAAACAAAATTTTCCACAGCGTAACGGTGCCGTAAAATCTTCGAGCAAAAATGAAAACGCGATGAATGAAATAGATATCGAAAAAAAACAGAAAAAATTTGCTCTGCCGCTTAACTCAGAGAATTTCTTTATACATACATATTTGCACACGTTATATATGTAGCGTTGCAGGTGTTAAGCCGACAAAACTTTGTTTGACAGGCAATAACATAGCGCGCTGTTAAGTGATATGAGCTAACACTGATATTTTCTGTTGAGTACGCTGAACAGAGACTCGCTGTGGTAATAGTACAAAAAATAATGTAAAAAAAAAAATATTTTTTAAAAACAAGCTTTTATTTAATATGTACAAGCAAAGGAATAAAATAA